AAGGGTCGTTCTTAGGAAAATCAATTCTAAGTGAAACATTTGGATTCTGTTTCCAGCATTTCGTCGCTGAGATCTCTTAAGAACATCATTCATTTAGCATATGATTGTAAGTTTTTCCGGTATATGGGCGGTGGTGTAATGAGTAACAAGTTTTTTTTTGAATTGTGGAGGTACCAGGTTCAAAAGCCAACCGGTTTGGACAAAATGTTTCTTACTGTCTGTTAATTCCCTTCAAATTCGTCCCGGGTTACTTCTGTACAACAAGCCAATAAATGAGTAGCATATTGCTAATCTGCAGAAAACATAAATAGCACGATGTTCTGCTAAGTGACGTAATCGAGTGGGAGACTTACTACTGAAATTTGCGTTTGCCAATCTGATAGCTTACTGATATCACGGCAACGTGTAAAGGTACATTAAAAGATTAAAAATTGCCTTGACTCTGTATCACGGTGCCAGCCGTTGTCTGGTGTGCGTTTAAAATAAATATTGTTGCAGACCTGCTCACTGGAGCTGCCTAGAGTCATGGCAACTGTGTATGCAGGCCACGTCTCTAACGTGACGAGTTTATTGTGACCCATGCGGGAGTGATGGGGGGAGGGTAGGCAGTCAGCATGCCCATCAACCACATGCAACAGGTTTATTTTTTCAATTAAGAGTTTATTTAGATCATCGCTACTCTCACGACACGAATTGAAACAAAAGTACCTGCCACCGCGACCATACGAACTGTTCTTATGCCTTTAAGCGTCGCAAATGGATAGTATTTTGAATTTGTTATCATAGAAATACTGCTTGACCAATCTCCATTCTAAAATATCCAAATATTCTATTGATATTAATGCATTTCGTTTTTCTGCCGGAGTTTCGGTATAAAAATATAATACAGCAACTAATTTAGGGAAACTAGTGTTCAGCAGTTGTGCCATATTTTTGTCATTATCCAAAAGAATCCGTTGAGATGGACAATTTTAATTAAACCATGTTTTATTTTATTTTCTGATCTGCATTCTATTTGCCAGTTGTTTACTAGTTGAATAAAAAATTCAGCCTTTGCTTGAAGCCCCTCCATCGTAAAGCATGACGGTGAGTTTTGCAAGTTATATAATGCGCATCAAAGCCAATGTTTTCTCCGAATCCTGATAGGACATTGAGACTTGTAATCTTCATGGTTAAAATTCTGCAGAAAAATGACCTGTGAATTTTTATTTTATAATAAGGTTTCTTAGAAAATAATCATTCAAACGTAACTTTGGCAAGACCTGTGCTGCTGCAGTGTCAAGAACCATCTGTCTTTTCAAAATACTCTCGAAATATTTTTGTCATGTTTGGCTTGAGATGAAGTTCAGTTGGATCGATCGAAAGGTTTATTTCGAGTTTTAACCTCTGCCGAAATGTGACAACTTTAATGCTGCCGTTGATCTCTACAAATTTAACTTTTAGAACGAAAGTAAAAAAGGGTACCCCGTCGATAGTTCGTTCACCGAGCGGCATCAAGAACGCGATTTTGCGGTGGTGTCAGATGAAGACGAAGAATTACCCGGTAAGCTTTAGCTGTTGACCGTGCTGTTCATCCTTTGCTCCGTTTGCGCCGGCTGTTAAGTCTTGAGCGTCCTCATTGTTTGGGGGCGCTTCGCTAAATCATGGTAGGTCAGAGCATTTCGGTGGCCAGAGAGCGGAACTCGCGGTCAAAGCCCACTAGCTTGAACGCCATTGGCCATCCTAGCTTGATTACTCGTCTTTCATGGTTCAGAGCAAATACGAGAGATGCATTGCCTGAGAATAAACAGATTACCACAGGCTATACTGGCTTTAAAAAATTGGACACCTTGGCATCAGGGTAGCAACCTGCGCTTTGTCTTGAACCTCCTGAAGAAGTGGGACAAACAGCGTCATTCATAAATGTCATTAATTGTTGTTTCTTATGAGTATCGACTTCTTTCTTTTCCGTTAGAAGCGTGTTTTTGGATCATGATGCCTTATGCTCAACTGCTTGATATTTAGTTTGAGCCTTTTGCGTCTACATCTCAGAGAAGGGAAGAACTTTTCTGAAACTTACCTTTCTCTCGACCCTGCTAATTTTTGTTGTATGCTGGCCCCCTAGGCAACTTCTAGCACTGTTTCTTCTTCTGTATTTGAAACTCACCTGATGAAATGAGCCCTGACAGAATGGAACTCGATGTTCTGGAAGGGGAGTATTGGACACCACTGCTGAATATATTACAGTACAAATAATGGCACGAAATTGAAACGGCGAATGCGCAATATAAAAATCAATTTCTCACGTTACACCAGCAGCAGCCCTGCTGCGCCGCCCCCTTGCTTCTAGACGCCTAGGGGAGCCATAAAGCAGTCCAGAGCTCTATCGTATTTAAGCACCTGCGGTGCATAGAACGCAGGACCTAGTCTCAAACATAGGTGGATCTAAAGTCCCTTCGAACGAAACGCATTGCCATGATCCGTAGGCGGAAGAGTAACACAAAGGAACCCCAATGTTCGGGGGGGGGGAGCATTCGATATCGCTGCTAATGAGAAATTGATGTTGATTTTCGCCGTTTCAATGCGGTATCATTGTTTTGCTGAAAGGAGCTTTTGGTTATTTATGGTTCATTTTGAGGTTACCTGACCTAGAAATATTTTACTCGGTTATTTCTTGGGTCAAGGCGATTACAATCTTACGACGCGCATCAAAATGTATGGCCTAAATTTTGCAAGCACTGAAATTACCACACAAAAGACACATAATCCATACTGGTCTGATGCCAAAGAATTGTTTTCCATCTTTCGACTGATGGCACAGGGACACGAAATGATCAGTTCGTTGGTCAAAGAAAACGTATTTGGAAAAATTTACGTTGCACGCGGATTGGAACCGGTCTGTCAGCAATCAAAGCAGTGCGACATCGCCTTCCATCACTGCCTTTTTATTCTCAACAAATTTGTCAACGAGATCTCGCCGCAGTTCGTAGTTCCATGAGACTCGCAATCCCTTCTCACTTCGCACGCATTGTTGCACCCTACTCTTAGCCAGTAGCCCAAGGAACGTTTTCAGCGGGCGGCCACGGCTCGGTGGTGTTTCAGTACCTGCAGTAAATAGGCATGAAACCTCACCACCATGTAAGGTAAACTGACATATAGACTGGTATACCACGGTCGGTGTCGATTTTCTTTCCTGCTGCATGTTCAACACTATGACTCATAATATGTTCATTTGCATATCACTGAAAAGCGCCATCATTTGATCGGTTGGCGATCAAATCCTCATCCTCATTTCGCGAAGACTCGACCGGTTTTCAGCCGTTGGGGGTGACACCAACGTCATACATCGACGGAGACAGTGCCGTGGCCGGCGCGGCGTTAACTTCGAGAAAAGTGCTGTAAAGCTACGAACACGTTCGCGAGGTTTCGGCATTTTGTGACATGTCGCCGATACGACTATTGCACCTGTCTTTCCGCGTTCCGAGTCTCAATTAAAAAACTCAGCTCGAGGGATATCGATCTCGAACTGTCGCAATTGCGAGGAAAATCGATATTTTTTCCTTTCCTGCGGTAATGACTTCTTTTACTGTCACAGAGTTCTCTCTGAGGCATTTCTGAAGCCAAGCTGTGACGCTGACCCCGTCGTTTGATCGACTCCAAAGTCG